GTAATCTACAGGGTTTTCGTTGGTTCTGAAGCAAATTCTTAGTCTGTCTTGGACCAGAAGCGCTGCTGAAACCTATCCAGCATCAGAGCAACATGCATGCCACTCTAGACAGATGGGATAGTGTCTGCATGTGATTTGCACTGGCCAGGAAATGAAGCTGGGGCTCCCACACTGGTGGTGAGACAACTATCAATGAACCACCAATGCTCTATTGCAACCACCATTTGACTAGGTACTACCACAGTTTTACAGATTAGGAAAGAAGAGTCCCAGGAGTAACTGGGTTTAGCTCCTAAGGCTCTTTCCCCTATGTACCAAGTCATCTCTGCATCCCACGGGTAAAGGTACACCTAAGGTTCTAGGTAAAAAGAGGATCTCGGGAACTTTCTACTATGACTGTTCCACAAGCAGTGCCCTTCCTTCTACAGCAGGAGTCAGCAAACTACGATCAATGGTCCTAGTGGAACCCAACAGTTTTTCTGCAAAGCTGATGAGCTAAGAATGGTTTATATTTTTTTAAATGGTTGAGGGTGAAAAATACTTCATGACAAGTGAAAATAGTATGAAATTAAAATGTCAGTCCCCATAAGTAAGAATTTATTGGAAAAGGCATGTTAGTCCCTTTATATATTGTCTATGACTGCTTTTGCACCAAGGAACCCTGGTAGTGCCCTGGTGAAGGGTTAGGCTGCTCACCACCAGGCACTCCACAGGAGAAAACCAAGGCTTCCTGTCCCCAAAAGGAGTTAAACATCTCTGAAGCCCATGGGGCAGTTCTGCTCTGTCCTATAGGGTTGCTATGAGTTGGAACTGACTTGATGGCAGTGAGCCAGTTGAGCTTTTGCATTATGACAACAAGCGTTGCATAGCTGTGACCTTTTTATAAAGCCTTTAACAGTCCGTAGATGCTTACAGAAAAAGCATGAGGTTCTTGCTCCGATTTATTCACTTGGCATATGTCTTTAAAGAATTCTACCTGGCCCTTAGTGATGAGTTGATTCACCCCGTGCCCCCCTTTTACACTTTTATGAGCATTACCTTTCATTAAAATTATTGTAGCTTAAGAAAGACATGCTTGGTAAAGTAGAGGGGCAATGAAAAAGAGGAAGGCCCTTGACATGACAGATCGACCCTGTGGCGGCCAACAATGGGCTCCACCCCTGTGCGGATGGCACGATCGGCAGGGTTTCCTTCTGTTATACAGAGTTGCTAAGAGTAAAAACTGCCCCGATAGCACCTAATAGCAATTTCTCTGAGTTCTTTAACTTTTATACTCGGGTGGCCTTTGAACTTGCTAGGAAAGACAACTGTATTCTAAAAACAGTAATTTTGAATCATAGGTGAAATGAATTCTATTTATATACACTATTCCAGGCCTCCAAGACAGTTGGGAAGCAAATTATAGTTTTATCTAGTCCACAGAATAATTCAGAGTTTCTACAAGGAAAACTGTTCATTACAAACAATGATAGTATACTGGCCCCATGAAGAGATGAGGCGGGAGGCAGAAAAAGACGTAGAACTTCTAATTCCTCAGGCCTGATCCTGTGTACTGACCATGAAGATCGGCACTTCCCTTTTATTCCCAACAGGGATTTCAGGCCAGAAGCAGCTATTCATAGATCCCCTTCATTTGTGAGCTGAGTTTATGGTATTCTAACACCAGGAACTAAGAATTTCCTGGCCACCAGATTCTTATGTCACCACACTGCTGCTAACCAGTTCAAAGACATACATATCAATGCAAACAAATATCTGGCTTCCTTTTATATTAGCAAAGAGGTGAACCTCAACTTAGTCATCATTTTTATCATCTTTCTTATTATAATTAACTCTCTCACAGTAATGACTGGAAGTCTTGGTGGAGACTCAGCTGACTCCTTGCACTTGGCATCAGTGCAAAGAATAAACTGTGATAGAAAACGAATCAAACTCAACGTCAGCATTTGGCATCCAAAAACTGTTACCCACGAGATGCTCATTGATCATCAATGCAATCTGGAGGCCTTTAGAACATTTGAGAAAATGAATAAGCTTGTTTTATCAGGCTAAACTTTGAGCTGTAATTTTGTGAAGCATCAAATTGAGTCTGTGCAGGAACGTTTACAATGTAAGTTACACATCCAATCAATTCCAACTCACAGTGACCCTATATTGGGTTCCCAAGGCTGTAAATCTTTATGGGAACAGATAGCTTCATTTTCCTCCTGTGGAGTGGCTGGTGGTTTTCAATCCCTGACCCTGTGGTTAGCAATCGTATGCTTACGTGACAGTACTAGCAGGCCCCTTGCTTTAGAAAAAGTTATCTACCCATATTCAGTTTTGCACTCTGTAATTGCAATTACCAGTCGGTAACCAGGTTAACTGGTAATAATAAATTTTAAAATCCCAGAAATAAACAATTCACAAATTTTAGCTTGCTAATCTTTCTGAAGAGTAGGATGAAATCTTGTGTCACCCCATTCTGCCCACCCAGGGCATGCATCAGCTCTTGGGCAACCATATCTAGGCATATATGTTACTCTAACTGCCCAGTAGAGGAGCCCAATAGATGGCGTAGTGGTTATGAATCAGGCTGCTAATCACAAGGTCAGCACTTCAAAAGCACCTGCTGCTCCAAGGGAGAAAGATGAGGCTTTCTACTCCAGTGAAGAGTTCAAATCTTGGAAACACAAAGGGGTAACTCAGACTCTGTTCCAAAGAGTCACTCCAAGAGTTGGCATCAACTCGATGGCAGTGAATTTGGTTTGGTTTTTGGTAACAGCCCATTAGTCACTTAACCATCTTAGCAAAGGCTAACCCGGGCTATGTCTCCATTTTCCAGTCTCAAACCCCACAAGCCCCCTTATCAGACCCTCAGAAAAAAACCCAGTCTGATGTTACCTATACTCTCAGTGATCTGGAGCAGAGGCTGTAAAGGATGGAGTGAATCACTGAAACGATCCTCAGCATTTATAGTAACACACACAAAACCTGTCAAGCATGAATCTGTGCTCTTGTGCTCGTACCAGGACTTTTCAGGCTGACTCAACTCTATGCTTAGACATGTTAAGTGGTTTCTTGTACTAAATAGCGCACATCCAGAATATGGTATTTATGGGAGGGGGCGCTTTAGGCATGATCGTAAATTAAAGAGTGGAGACTACATATTGAAAAATTAAAACCTTAATTTTCTTTCTTATTTTTTTTTTGAGAAAAAAGAACCCCACCAATTTCTTATGCTTCATAATTTAAGAACTTGTTAAACAGGAAGAGATATGTTTCCTAATGAATTCTGATGAAATTGTTACTCCCCATTTCCTATTTCTACAACATCCAGTTTACTATTTCTATTAACTACAACTTGAAGTCAATTTTTAAAATAAAACCAAAAAGCCTATGCAAAAGACATTGAAGTACTAAACTTCTGGGCGGAAGTAATGTTTCCAGTGTTAAAAGCTAATGTAACACAATAATTTCTAAATCACAAAATATTTTTGGCATAAGTTGAATAAACACAGCTACAAAGAAAAAAACATTGTCATGGTCCTCAAAGACACCTATTCTATTTGTGATACAGATCAAACAAAAACCTATTTTCTAAGCATATTACCAAACCATTAAGCATACTCCCAAACTGCATTTATAGTATGATCTTTTTCTTTTATAGGGTACTGGGGATAGGGTAGGGGAAGGGGGAGGGGTGAAATTACTGGTGAATTTCTTATTCTGTTTATCAGCATTTTCTAATTGTTCTAAAATATATAACTCTTTTTAAAAAACCCTTAGACTTACAAAAAATCCTGGACTTCATTAATTACTTACCCAAAGCCAAATGACATTAGATCTTATGGTAAACATTGCTTGTTTTTTTTAAAGATTCCTGTAGAATAGCATCTACGAACTAAAATGAGTATGAATTTGTTAAGGAATTATTCTGGTTCCAAAAAGGGCCAGCTCACTGCCAGCCAGCTCATTCTGACTCCTAGCTACCCTATAAGAAAGGGTAGAACTGCCCCTTGTGGGTTTCCAAGATGGTAACGCTTTAGAAATACAATAGAAATCCTTGACTTGCTCCTGGGAAACAGCTGGTGGTTTCTAACTGCTGACCTTGCAGCCCAACTGTTAGCCATGAATTAGGATTAACTGAAATAAGACAGCAAGGCAAAATAAAATCTGCCAAAATAAATACCAATGCTTTAAGACTTCAGGCAAATACTGGTGATTTTTAATTCAGTGCTGTAGAATTAACCAAAAGCCTACGGATGTCAAGTCAATTCTGATTCATGCTGACCCCAAAGGACAGAGTTGAAAAGGGTTTCCAAGGTCCTATCTTCATTAAAGCAGACAACCACATCTTTCTCCCATGGAGCAGCTTGTGGGTTTGAAATACCAACCTTTTATTCTGAGCCAAGCGCTTTAACCACTGTGTCACCAAGAACCATTACAAATCTTTCTAGAGGAAAAAAACCACTATTCTTAAAGACCTGGGTAAAAGGAAACTTAGTGAAGAGCTACTAAAATATACAAGAATTTTAAATTCAGGCATAATACATATTCTATGTAATAAAATGAGGACACAGTAGATTTCTTAATCTTAGACTTTTTCACTCTTATACACAGAACTTCCATATTGTGAAATTATAACTCTCAAATTTCATGGGGAAAAAGTAAAAGAAAATGCCCCACAAATATTTGAAGGCCCCTCATACAGTAATTAAAAAAGGAAGCTAGTTTATATAATAGACTGATCTCCATGATATTTTCAGTTTAAAAGAGTGTACAGGATAGAATGCATTTATTTTTGCATTAAAAGGAGAGGCTATGTGAATCTTGCGGTGGAACATGCAAAAACAAGCTGGAAAGATATACAACAAACTTTAAACACTAGGGATACCAGGTGAGGACGGTGGGAGGAAAGCGAAAAGATAGCATCGAGAAGTAGTCTTCAATTCGCTGTAGTATATTCTGGATTTTGACGATGTGAATACATAACCCAAAAAATATTAAAAGAACTTTACCTTGCCCCATTATTCCTAATGACTTCAACTGTTTCTTCAACAAAATAGCGATCTTTGACATATGCAAAGATGTCATCACAAATTTCATGCAAGCGTGAGCGATGGGTGAGGTTGGCCAAGCATAAAACTGGAATAATTAGTGGTTCTGGAAAACTTTGAAGATTCTGTCTTGCTTTTTTTTCAGACTCAAGTGCTTCTTGATAGGTCAGTCCCGGTCTGCCCGTCACGGCACAACTCCACACAAGACTGTTGCACAGAATGGTCCGCTCAAAAAAGTCACTGGTGAAAGAAGCAAACAAAACCCAAAATCCATCATTTAGCATTCACAAATTTTACTTTAAAAACAAACAAGACTGTCCCTTCAGGGCAAAATTTTAATTCTAGTAGGATTTGATAACTGGTAAATGTACACATCATACAAACCTGGGGGGGGGGGAATTTAAATCACACATTTAAAGGCATATGCAGTAAAAATTGGACTTTAATGTCCAACAGTTTTGGAATTAGGAATCAAACTGAAAATAACACCTTTTTTTTCTTTTCCTTTTTAATTTTTAAACTTTTTTGTTTTTCAGCAGAACCAAATACTAAAAGTCACTTTTAAGCCCTTGCCAATTAAATTTTAGAAGGTTTCAATGTCATTGCAAAGAATGAAAAAAAATCGAAGTATCCTAACAATAAAAGAAAATAACAAAATTATGTGAATTCAGTGAAAACAATCCACAATTTGAAAATTACAAGGTAATCATAAATAAATAAATCTGAATTTTTATTTCATTCCTTATGTGTTTGGAAAGTAAAAACTTACTGAAATTATGTACAGTATGATCTCATTTGTGTTAAATTTAAGACTTCTACAAAGAAAGTCCTCCGTGTGTGACGTCTGAGTCACACTGAGCAGAAAAGACTCAAGTGACTGAAGAGCATCATCTCTAGTCCGTTGATACACACGCTGTAGGGAAAGTCCCCTGCAGCAACAGAGGGAGGACTGGTAGGGACTGGAACTGAACTGATGGTAATGGGAGGATCGGGGGAAAAAAGGAAAGCTAATTTTTCTTATTCTAAGTGTTTGTAACATTGCTTCCATTTCTACATATATATTTTTTAAATATAAAGTTAGACATGAAATTTTTTTTAGCAAAAGTTGCCTCTATGAAGGTATGGGGAAAACTGTTTTCTTCCTCCTCAAGTCTTTGTGTACTGTTCAAATTTTCTAAAATTATATGCAAGCAGTATAGTTGAGTCATTTTTCTCCTAGGTTTGTTTCCCTGACATCCTCCAATGATTCTGAAAGTGTTAAAATTGCTGTTTATTTCCTGCTTGCATATGTAGATATGACATATCTACATAGGTCATTCCTACAGTAATATATGATCTTCAAACATTTGCGACAATTCCATTAAGATTATTTTCTGTGTATATGTGTCTGTAAAACAAGAACAAGCTAAAACCTGTGAAAGTAAGAGAAATAACACTTTTAACATATGTGAGACCTAGAGATGACATTTGAACAGCCAGCTATATGACTCTAATTTAGTACAAAGGAATCCTTTTGAAGTATGAACTCCTTAATAGAGGACATAAGGAATGCATGTCAAAATATAAAGTGAAAAATGATTTATAAGACAGGAGGTAAAGGAACAAGAAGGTCCTAAGATATAAGAAAACACTAGAACCTTAGGTCTTACAAAAAGGTACAACTGAAGAAAGCAATGCCAGAGAGGAAAAGGTAAATGCAATCTGGTTTCCAGGAAATCTGTTAGATAAATAATTAGTGAGAGGCGACAGAAACAACCCAGTAGGTCTACCAATGGTACAAAATAAATGAACTGATGTAGTCTGAAAGAGTTCTTAAGTTTAATGCCTAAAACTGCAGCTCCACTTAGAATGTGTATTTAAACACCCCACCCCACAAAACAAACTTAAGTGTCAGCCTCGGCTTCCCAAGCTAACATAGCACATAAGGCATCCGAAGTGTGCTTTTGTAAAGGCTTTAACTATACCTATTCAAGACATCTTCCACAGTAACTTGTCTCCAAACTAGTTGTAGTGAGGAGCCTTGGGGGTACAGTGGGTAAGGCAGCGTGAAACCACCAGCTGCTGCGGGGGAAAGACATGGCTGTCTGTTTCTGGAAGGATGTATATAGCCTTGGGGACCTCATGAAACAATTCACCTCCATCTTACAGGGTCACGAAGAGTCAAAGTCAAATTGACAGCAAAGTTAAGCCAGTGGTAACAGAAATAGAATGCGAGCCAAAGTATACATAATTTTAACATGTTCTAGGGACTTACACTGACAAAGTTGGCAAAAGATGTGGCAGTTTGCGTCCATTAAGATTATCAGCCATGGAAACCTGGGGCAGCTCTACCCTAAGTTTTTTTAAATTTAAGGGAAAAACATTCAATATATAGCCAACCCAAAAAATCGTGGTATCTTATTAGTGTATTTTACATTTACAACGCATCTTAGTTTCATTTCAAGCGCTTATTAGAAACCAGGCCAATTAGCGACTACTGTATTGGACAGTACAGCTCTTGCCATATCAGCTAGGCAGCACACCTGGTGTTTTTGGTAGGCTATCTAAAGTGCCATGGCATTTGCCTGAAGTCTGTGTAAGGTGTAAGGTGGGTTGCAATAAACATTGTACTAACATTGTACAAAATACCAAGAATGGTATTGACACCAAGTGTATTACCAGGCCGGGGGTGTGGGCAGGTGTGTGGTGGGTGGGGGAAGGGGAAGGAGGAGAAGTCCCACTCAATTCACAATAAAGTTATTTAAACAAATCTGAAAGTCAACAACTAGTGTACACACCGCTTTCGTACCTCCTCCTGCAAAGTGTATGTCTGTTTGTATCTGCTCTTCAACATCTGCAGTTGCTACATTATAGCTTTCCAGTACACAAAGATCTACCCTGGGGGGTGGCGGGGGTGGGAGGGCAGGGGGTTGGGGTGGGGTGGGGGGGGGAGTGAGGGCTGGTGGTAGAGAGACAAATTATAGAAGCAGCTTTAAAGCAAGTTCTTAAAAACAAGGGGAAAGCCGCAGGGCTATTTCTTCCTGTTCTTCACCCCCTGCCAACACTGCACCATTTTAACATTACACATTGTCACTTTTTCCATCTTCTGGATTCTACCTTCATTTCGCCCATTCATCATGTATTGCACATGTTAGCATAGTTAATGATTATGTATTCTCCCCTCTTTTGTTAACATTACTGTAGAGGATATGTTACAGCGCCTCTTCAAATTCTGAATTACATTACAGTCATGTAACATCTATAAGAAACACAGTTTACTATTATGAGCGAAGTATTTTGAGATATACTACCCTATCTCCTATGACTATTCCTTCAGCAGTCTTCTGTACTTATTAGAGGTGGGCATACTACTGGCTCCTGGAGGTCTCATTCAGTGCTCCATCTGGTTTTGTAAACAGTATTAGTGGAGCACCCCACATCATCCTTTCATTTAGGTTTTATCTATGGCTGCACTTGAGTAGGTGTAACAGAGATATTACCCATTTTTAGGCCTGCAAAGTCAACAATATTTATTAACTGGCCCTTTGCAGTAAGAGTTTGCTAACCCTTGCTATTTACCATTATTTCTTAAGAGAAAACTACCTCTGAGTTACCAAGTACAGTGCTTTACTGAGAACCTCTAATATAAACCAACTCTCTGATTAACTAGTGGGTATTTGGAAAATGAAAAAAACAACAACAAAACCTAGTATAATAAGATTGAGAATAAAGTGACATATAAATCAGAAATCAAATATAATTGCAAAAAGATAAATGAAAAGCATATTCTACCTAAAGGCCGAAAATATATTAATCATAACGCGCTGTAATTGAGCCCTGGTGGCCCTGCGGGGTATGCATCGGATTGCTAACCAAAAGGTTAGCACTTCAAACCCACCAGCAGCTCCACTGGAGAAAGCTGAGGCTATCTATCTGCTCCTATAAAGATGCATAACCTCAAAAACGATAGGGCTGCTATGAGTCAGCAGTTGGTTTGGTTTGGGGGTACATTAGATTGCTTCCATACAGCTTTTTTGGTTTTGTAAACTCCCACCAAATGACCTGGTAAGGCTAGGCAAAAATGCTTGGTGCCCCCTAGGGTATTTGGATAGCATGTTAATAATGCAAATAAGGTATCTGGAACTCCTGTGGGGATAGGAACATGTAAATAAGATGTATGGAACCCTAATGAAGAATTAATCAATTCTGCCACTCTGCTAAGCTTAAAAGATAGACAATCCCAGAGACTAAGAGGGGAACCTAACTACCATCAAGAAAAAATAGACAGGGACTGGGAACATGCTTTGGACCCAGCATACTAGAACCCTCCTAGACCCAGGAGTCAGAGCTGTGACACTGGAGACCACAAATCTAGAGTGAGATGGAGTGTGTGTCTTTGGGCAAGAAGTTTGCTGGCAGAGTGGGGGTACCTTTAGGAACCTGGAATTAGAGAACACAGCCCAACTGCCATGAGAAGAATGGGGGGATCTAAGAATGGGGGTGTGGGTGGGGGGTGTCTAGAAGGTTAAGAGAAAAGAGGTTATGCCTGCCTCCAATCAGCCTGTAATGATTATCATTACAGGCTGTTTAAGGAAGAGAGAGTTGGGAATTGGAAAATTGGGAGAGGGAGGAGGAGGAAAACTATTCTAAATATTTGAAGATATTTAATCTAGACAGCTCTTAAAGGCAAGCTAAACTGAAACTTCAAGTAAGGGTTTGAACTATAGGTAGTCAGGGGTGGGGGAGGGGTGGCCTGGGGGAGGTTAAGCAACAAGCTATTTCCATAAAGTTGTTAGGATGATGGTTTATTGTTTTAATGGATAAAATCAATGAACTACACAGAGATTGCTAGTAAGCATACAAAATCTTATCAGGACACTCCATGTAGAAGTCTCATCAACAGCTTAGTTTGTCTGCAAAATGACCAACAACAAAAATGAGCTGCCCGAAGTACCTCAGACTGCCTCTTCTCATTGACAAGCCAGGCTGGACTGCTAATTGTGGAAAGGATTCCCTCATTTTGAACGAAAGGTTGTATGCACTCAAAGATGAGAAATATATCCCAATTCCAAGGGTCTACATGGCTTAAAAAAGCAAAATAAGCAAACAAACAAAAAATAGCCATTTTAATTAGAAGATTAACTCACTAGATAATACAACAAATCATGGTCCTTTCTCACAAATCTAAAATTTCTGATATTCAAATCTGTTTAATTTTTCACAATCCTCAGCCCAAAATAACTAAAAAACCATAAACTGCTATCAGGTGACTGAAATTATAGAATGACTTTTAATTTACTTAACAGATTAACTCATGTACATTGTCATATGCATTTGTTTGCATTAAATGCACTATTTTTAATGACTCTACTTATAAAAGCAGGTCAAACAAGAGTTAACAATTAGTTAAGCACATGTAATTCTAAATAGATATATAAATACAGGAGTAATACTATCTAATCACTAAGGACCCATTCTGGTCATAGTTCCTGTCTCAAAGAATCCACAGCTTCAGAAGAAAATGTAGTGATCACTGCTGCTTAAAAAGACAAGGAGGAAGTGAGCTATAATTTCAAGTAAGATGGAGACAAAACCATTTAGCATTAAAAATTCACTTGCAGCGTTGACTAAACAGGCATACAGTGTAAGAAACAAAATCAACTTTGCATTTTGTTGAAAAATTAATAAAGAGATGTAGAAAAATTATTTGAAATGGATTAAAGTTCAGCTATTTATATTCAAGAAATTGAAAACCTGAGCAAACAGGCAAGCACAGGCGGTCTCTCTAAAGACATTCTAATAATAAAATAATCAAATTAAAAAATAATCTTCCAGAACATAAACCAAATGGTAATTTAAGGAATGAATGACAATGGGTTTCCTCAGATTTGTCAGGTTCCTAAGGGATCATCATAACCCACTGTCATCGAGCTGATCTGGCCTCTGACAGCCTATAGGGTTTGCAAGACTGTCAAGCATTAGGAGCACAGTCTCACCTTTCACCTGGTGAGCTTGCTCGTGGGTTTGAGCTGCTAACCTTTTGGTTATCAGCCCAATGCCTACCCCATGGAGGCGTTTCTAATTCTGAATACCAGCAGCATTGCTTTTACAGAGTTAATGTATTAAAGATCTTTGCTCCAAACCCAATCATCTCTACAAAACAGCTTGCAATTCCCTAAAACACAACCAATCCAACACAGAAAAAAAACGACCAAAAATAAAACCAACACCTAGTCTTTAGTGCTAAGACTACCAAGGACACACTTCCTTACTAGTACTGGAAGACAGGCAGGTTTGGACTACCAAAACTCTCCTTCATCAACATTCCAGATACAAAGTCCATAGTGTTTCATCCCAAAAGTCCTCTCAAAAGGCAGAGAAGATTTCTTAAAAAAAAGAAGATTGGTTTTATCGCAGGGAAGAAAGTTTGAACTTTTTTGTTTTCTATTTTGTTGGCATGCTTAGATACAATTAAAAAAATAAATTCATGATTGTGCTGTTAGGATCGAACTGTCTCCTAAAAATGTGTGTCGTCAATCCTAACCTCTATCCCATTTGGGGATGAGTTGTCTGTCATGTTAATAAGGCAAGAGTAGTGTCCGTTGTGTCTTGAAATGAAATCTCTTGAGATCTCAAAAGAGATTAAATAAGTGATGAAGAGAAGCAGAGATGGGGTAAGAGATGTCAAACCACAGGAAGATCACACAGGAACAGAAGTGAAGAGTCAAGGGCAGGCCCCTGGATCCCAAAGGGAAAGAGAAAGGCCTTCTGCTCTGGGAGCAGGCCACCAGGAGTCCTGACTTGAGAAAATGTTTGTCACCTTTCTGTGATACTCGTTATAGCAGCACTAGATCATGAAGACATTTACCAAGACGTTTAACTTAAAAAAGAAGAAAAAAAGACGCAACTCTTGTCAAGTTGCCTAATCCAAATTCAATTAAGTCGTTACAAGAGTGAAATCTATTTGAGTAACTACCACAACAAGTCTGTACAGGAGCAAAGCCTAACGTGCACTCCTCTTTAAAAGTAGTCTGCTGAAAAACTCCCTAGAACAGTATGTGATGTATCAAGTTGATTTGTTACTCATTTTCCTGCGAAGCTTCAGAAAAAAACAAAAAGGTTATTTAACTGCCAAAGGAATAGACTTTTTTAGACTCGCTACTCATTTCTCAGGCAGGTGCAGTTCGCCTGAAGCATCAAGTCCCTACTTAGAGAAGGCGCCTCCTACCTTCAACGGACTTGCTTCCTGTAACACTAGGTTTCTAAGCCACAAATGGATTCCTTCTGAGTGGAGAGACTAGAGATTTAAAGAATTTTATTTTTCAAGGGAGGAGGGAATCAGGCTTGTTTCAATGATTGATCAATTCAGGTGCTCACTTTTAGATCGCTAACAACGCACTGCGCTGATACGTGTTGCAGGGTAAGGGGAGCCCTTGGGAGAAACCGAGCGAGAGGCTTCAAAAACAGGGCTGGAAATTGTGCAAGCAGCAGCTCCGGGTTATCAAAACAATAGCGAGTGGCACATGTCAGGCGGCTCACA